GTGGGGGGCGGGGGGGGGGGAGCAGGGGGAGCAGAGGGGTACAGGAACAAAGGTTTTTCCAAGATGGCGGCGTTTGGTTAAGCATGGCGCGCGGAAAATAATTTAGTGTGGCGGCTTGATGAGGGAGAGGGAGGGGCTGATATGAGGAAATATGCGGTATGAGGGGTATAGTGAGGGAAAGGAGGGGGTATGAGAAGATATGCGATATGAGGGGTATAGTGAGGGAAAGGAGGGGCGGATATGAGAAGATATGCAGTATGAGGGGTATAGTGAGGGAAAGGGAGGTATGAGGAAATATGCGGTATGAGGGGTATAGTGAGGGAAAGGGAGAGACGGGTATGAGTAGATATGCAGTATGAGGGGTATAGTGAGGGAAAGGGAGGGACGGATATGAGAAGATATGCGTATGAGGAGTATAGTGGGGGAAAGGAGGGCGGGTATGAGTAGATATGCGAGAAGTATAGGGAGGGAGGGGAGGGGCGGATATGAGAGATATGGAGTATGAGGGTATAGTGAGGGAAAGGAGGCGTATGAGGAAATATGCGATATGAGGGTATGGTGAGGGATGCGGGTATGAGTAGATATCGGTATAGGGGTATAGTGAGGGAAAGGGAAGGATGGGTATGAGAAGATATGCGGTATGAGGGGTATAGTGAGGGAAAGGAGGTATGAGGAAATATTGCGTATGAGGGTATAGAGGGAGAGAGGGGTATGAGAAATATGCGGTATGAGGGTATAGTGAGGGAGAGGGAGGGGTAGATATGAGAAAATATGCGTATGGAGTATAGTGAGGGAATGGGAGGGGGTTATGAGTAGATATGAGGTATGAGGGGTATAGTGAGGGAAAGGAAGGGACGGATATGAGAAAATATGCGGTATGAGGGGTATAGTGAGGGAAAGGGAGTGAGGTAGACTTGGGAGAAATGACGGGGTATGAGGGTATGTTTGAGTAAAAAGTGTGATGCGGTAGAGCAAGCGACAGAAAAAATGGTTTTATAGAGAGGTTCTTTAAGCGAAAAATACGACATGAAGAAATGATAAAGTATGGAAAAGCATAAAAAGAGAGAATGAGGGGAGAGAGAGAAAAAAAGATAAATGGAGGGTATAAGGATAAGAAAGAAAGACCGAGGGATGGACAGAAATGAAGAAAAGAACTATGAGGGTAAGATAATATTAAGCGATAAGGAGGAACGGAAATGGGATGTTGGCAATGGGAGGGGAGAGGGGAGGAGGAGGGGGGGTGAGGGTGCGAGGTGCGCGCGGTGGCCTGTGAGGGAGAGGGAAGGGGCGGGGGGGGGGTGATGATGAGGGGGAGATGACGAGGAGGACCGCGAGGATGAGAGTTCACAAGGGTCATCGCCGCCCGAGGGACAACATGCAGGTGCGACGGCAGGTGAGGATCGGTTCGGGATAATCTGCCGGTTTGTTAGGATTGTGCGAGGCCCGACCCGAAGAATATTCGTATACTTGACATGCGCAAATAAAGATATAGAACCATATTTACCAGGCTAGACGTGCATAACAACCGGGAAAATAGATAGTTCAATGTATATCTATCAGATATATAGACAGATATGCCTTTATTTCTGCGTCTGTGTTCATGGAAATTCTTTGGGTCGGGCCTGGCAGATTTTAACAAATCGGCCGAAAGTTTTTTTTTTTCTTTCGAATACTCCAGCGAATTTCCATGTCTAATGCTGATGCTTTCGTCTTGTCAAAGTGAATGGGAAATGGGTTAATGGGAGTTGTGGTGAATTTGTAAAGAAATGTTACCAATTCATGTGAATAGAAACGCGTATGGGATTTCAGAGTAAATTGTCAGTTTATCAAATGTTGTCTGAATTGAAGTATTCGGAAAATAGACTTCCGAAAGTTGTCTTAAAGATCTTTCGTTTATGCAAATTGCAACACCAGCCTCACACCTTTCCTAACTTGTCTGATTCTCAATAAGCATGCAACTCCGACCTATCCGTTTGCATAGTAACATGACTTTGGAGTGCTGTTAATTTTTGGCTTACAGATACGGCGAATTTTCCATCACTATTTACTTCAAAATCTATAGGTTACAAAGAAATCGAATGACGTAATATGCTCACTTGAAAGGAACTATTTAGATGTCATTACTTTGGGAATATGATGTGTGTCTTTGTTATATTTTTTTCACTTTCTATAATTTCCAATATATTGCTTGCGCTCCTTCTCTGGTCTTGGTCCCTCTCTGATCCCAGCTTCGTCTCGCCGACTGGGAGACAGCTAAACTATCTTTATTGATATACATTAATGCGAAAGGAATACAAATGATAAAACACGTGAATCAAAAATGGCATGACTTTCTTTTCACGCAGGCATTCCTCACGTGGTGTCTCGCGGCGTCAGCCCTCCACGGCGCAGTCTCTCAGAGCCAAGGTCGTCCTCCACTCGCTCCTCCACCGGGGTTTCGAGGCGGAGGTCCTTCCAGCCCCGAGGGCGCTGCGGGCGGCAGGGACCTCCTGAGCGAGGGCCTGAACATCCCCCTCCTGTGGGGGTCGCCGGCCTCCATCCAGATCCCGGCTCTCATGCTGCTGACCGTCGTGCTCATCTTCTTCTCAGGTTCTGCCGATTTCAGTCTCTTCTGGCGGTTTGGATCATGTGGGTAATGCTGATAAAAGTACGGAAATTATGCTTTGTACTGATATGCGATGTCTTTTGATTGACAGCGGTGGCACGTGACAGCTACCTGTCCTTATTCGAAGCCCCGGCCGTCCCCCCGGGTCTAATGGGGGCGGGGCGGCCGCCGATGGCAGGGGCGATGGGCGGTGGGCGGCGGCCGATGGCAGGGAGATTCCTTCCGCAGGAGGTTCCTCAGCAGGAAGCCTTCATTTCTGTCGTAGACGCTACGGAGGAATTGAAATTCTTGTAGTTGTATATTTTTCTTCGCTGGATGTTTGTATAACCTTCATGTCATTATTAATCTAATAAAAAGATTATGGATATGTCGATTGTCTAAAAAAAGAAAGATGAAGTGTTTTAAGTGACCTCAAACAAGCAAGTAAAGCCAATGTATAAGCAAGAAAACGTGTACACACTCATAAACATACACCCAATTGTGTATATATGTATAATACGCGTATATATATATATATATATATATA